CCCGTGTCCCCTGCATCGGCAGGCGGACTCTCAACCACTGCGCCACCAGGGAAGCCCTCATTCTTTTTTAGTGGCTGAGTAGTATTCCATTGTATATATATACCACATCTTCTTTAGCCATTCATCTATCAATGGGCACTTAGGTTGCTTTCATATTTTGGATATTGTAAATAATGCTGCAATGAACATAGGGGTTCCTTCTGGCTATGAAGTTTCTGCTGAAAAATCAGCTGATAGTCTTATGGGGGTTTCCTTGTACATAACTAGTTTTTTTATTGCTGCTTATAAGATTCTTTAACTTTTGACATTTTAATTATAATGTGTCTTGGTGTGGGCCTCTTTGGGTTCATCTTTTTGGGGATTCCCTGTGCTTCCTGGACTTGGATGTCTATTTCCTTTGCCAAGTTAGGGAAGTTTTCCGATATTATTTCTTCAAGTAGGTTTTCTGTCCCTTTCTCTCTCTCTCTCTTCTTCTTATGGGACCCCTGTAATTCAAATGTTAGTATGCTTGACCCAGAGGTCCCTTAAATTATCTCATTGTTTAAAATTCTTTTTCTTTTCACTGTTTTGATTAGGTGATTTTCACTATTCTGTCTTCCAGATTGCTGATCTGTTCTGCATCCTCTAATCTGTTATTGATTCATTCTAGTGTATTTTTCATTTCAATTATTGTATCCTTCAGTTCTGATTGGTTCTTTTTTATATTTTCTTTCTCTTTGTTGAAATTCTCACTGAGTTCATCCATTGTTCTCTAGAGTCAGTGGTTATCTTTATGACTATTACTCTGAACTCTTTATCTTATAAATTGCTTATCTCTGTTTAATTTAGTTCCTTTTCTGATGTTTTGTCTTGTTTTTTCATTTGGAAGGTATGCCTTTGTCTCTTTATTTTGCCTAACTCTCTGTGTTTGTTTCTATGTATTAGGGATGTTGGCTAAATCTCCTAGTCTTGCAAGAGTGGCCTTACGTGAAACGTGTCCTGTGGGGCTCAGTGGTGCAATCCCCCCTGGTCACCAGAGCACTGCTGTGGGCATGCTGATGCACGGGACTGGCCTCAGTGCAACTGACTTCGAGGCCAGTCTGGGACTATTGTGGGTGCTCTGTGGTGCGGGGCTGGCCCCCTGGAGTGGAAGCCACTTTGGAGGGATGCTGGTGCCAGCCAGGGCTGCCCAGCTGTTGGGGCAAGGCAGAAAGTGTTTTGGAGGGACCAGCTGGAGTGGGTCCTCAGGGGAAAGTCAGGGTGGGGCACACAGTGTTAGTCAGGTTGATGGACAGTGACAGAAATGGTGCCTGCCAGTGCTTCCATCCCCAGAACCCTGCCCCTCCAGCACACGCCTTAAAATTCATCAGTGAGTCTCCTTCTCATGTGACCCAAGCACTTTCAAGCTGCTGCCTCTGTGCTGGGAGTCAGAGTGAATGAATGTGTGTGAAAGCCCCTCAGGAGAGTCTCAGTCTCCCACAGCCCTTCCACTCGCCTAAACGTAAACCTTACTGGTTTGCAAAGCCAGGCATTATGGGGGCTTGTCTTCCCAGTACAGGTCTCCCAGGCTGGGGAGCCTGATGTGGGGCTTGTAGACCTTGCTCCTCAGGGGGAATCTCTGTGGCTGTGACGTCCCTCCTGTGTGTGGGTTGCTGCACTGGGGGTGTGGGTTGGACTAGACTGTGTCTCTGCCACTCCTGCCTGTCTCACTGCGTCCTTTGCTTTCTATTCTTAGTTTAGAAAATCTGTTCTGCTAGTCTTCAGGTGGTTCTCAGAGATGGTTGTTCTATAAGTAATTGTAGTTTCGGTGTGTCCATGGGAGGGAGTGAGCTCAGGGTCTTCCCACTCTGCCCTCTGGATGTGGACCTCTCCATAATACACATTTAATGCAAAAATAATTTCCCTCTGTTTCCTCAGAATGCTACACCCCCTTCTCAGAGGCAGGAAATGCAGTGTCTGAAATCAGGCACCGTAGGCCCATCCTTGGGCCTGGTTAGTGCCTGGCTGGGGCAGAGGGTGATGAATCGGGTGACTGGCCTCAGTTCAAGGTACCACACATTTCTAATTACCCAAGATCAAGTTATTTTCCATGGCCATATTGAAAATATTATTTTTCATAATTACATTATAATTGGTTTTTAGCCCAGTAAAAACATATGGTAAAAGCAAACCAACATGTATTTTCATAACCTAAAGGGTTCCTAGGTATTCATTCTGTCCCTGGCCCATTGGCCAGCACAGGTGCTCCCCACATGAGCTTCTGAAGGGGAGGAGGCAGGCGTCCCTGCCCTGAGACAAGAGGCTGGTCTCTCTCAGACTCTGGAATAATCACATCAAGACCATTCCCCTGGGACTTCCCTGGCAGTCCAGTGGTTAAGACTGTGCTTCCACTGCAGGGGGTGTGGGTTCAATCTCTGGTCAGGGAACTAAGACCTTGAGCAGCCAAAAGAAAACAAGAAAAAAGACCACTGTGCTCTTCCCCTGCCCCATCCACCAGCCATTCCAGGTCCTAAGGCTTGATGTGCCTTGAGGTTAATTCCCTCCCTCCTTTCTACTTGTCCTTGATTCACTGCGTGGAGGGGGACAGAGTATGACCAACCTCCAGTCCCACCCAGCACATAGTAGGCACCACACAAAGCACTCTTCATAAAAAGTATTTTCTTAACTAATTAGCGGTTTGCATCTAGAGCTTCCCATTCAAGCTGTATGTATGATATAGGGAAATAATTACTTCTGGTAAGAGCTCTCTACTATTTAGCGAGGTCTTTTTCCTTTCTTTTCCCGTTTAAAAAACTAATGGAAATAAGGAAAACATCAATGACCTCAGTTCAGGGTACCACATATTTCTAATTACCCAAGACCTAGTTATTTTCCATGGCTGTATTTCTGTGGCAATACCAAAAATATTATTATTTTTCAAAATTATATTACTATTGATTTTCAGCCCATTGAAAACATCTGGTATACAAGTAAACCAACATATATTTTTATAACCTAAGGAGTTCCTAGGCGTTCATTCTGCCCCAGCCCTTTGGCCAGCATATGTGTTTCCCGTGTAAGCTGCTCTTGGTCAGTGCTCGGCCAGCCTACCTGTCAGGCAGATACCCCGGGTGCTGTTGCACAGGTCCACCATCACTCGGATCTGCAGGAAGAGAGAACCATTAATAGCGGTATGGTAGGCAGTGGACCCTGAACTTGCCCTTTATTCAGACAAGCAGAAAGCAATGATAAAGATTAACAAAATAACTTCAGGAGAATATGTAGAAGTCCGAGGAAAAGTTAACCTAAAACTGAAAAGAAACCCTTAAAAGATCTAAAGATTTTTTTTATACCTGCAGCTCATCTATCAACATTGTCAACAGAATCTCCTTGATTTCTACCAAACTCTGAGAAGGCCGAGGATGGGGAAGGAATCACCAAATCTACAGCCAGGCTGGCCCCCACAGCGTCTGAAGGGCTCAATCTGTGGGTCTGAATAAAGAGGGCTGGTGAGCTTAGCAGTCAGAAGCAAACACTTAACTATCTGAGTAAGTACAGGTGAGGTACTTAACTCCTTGACACTTTGGTTTCCTCTGAAATTGTAGATTATATGAGTAGCTGTCTTGAGGGTTAGGCAGCTCCATGTCTGGCATGTGGAAACTGCCCTTAGAGGAGTGATTCTCATGCCATGTGGACACTGCCTACTTGCCACTGGATGGCCACCTGGAATACATGGTCACTGCATTGTGGTACCATCCTGACACCTGGTTCCCACACACCACTTTACACTCCTCCCCCCATGCATTTTCCACGCTGCTGCTAATGAGCTTCACAAAACCCAAATCTGATCAGGTCAGTCCTGCTTCAAACACTTTTGTGACTCCTTGCTGCTCTGAAGATACAGCAAAATTCCTCCTTCTCCGGCCTCAGCTCACACCATTCCTCCCTCCCTTTCTGTTCTATAGTTCCACTCTGCCTCAGTTTGCTCATCTGTAAAATGGGGATATTTGTAGTACTTACCTCTTAGGATTGTTGTGAAGCTTTAGTGAAGTTGTATGTGAAGCTCTTAGAACAGTGCCTGGCATGTAGGAAGCACACACAAAAGTGTTTTCTGTTTTGCGGAGGCAGCAGAGAGTGCACATAGAGGCATGAATCCTGAAGTCAAACTGCTTGTGTTCTAATCATGGCTTTGCCATTCACAAGCAGTGTGACCTTGGGAAAATTACTTAACCTCTCTGTGCTGCAGTGTCCTTGTCTGTAAATGGAGTTAACAGTACCTACCTTACTTAAAGCATGGTTATGTGGATAAATGAGTGAATACATGCAATACTCTTACAACAGGGCCCGGCATATGATAAGCAAACTCTATTTATGCTACTGTTTTGATGGTTCCTTGGATATGCCTGGAATGACTTAGTTAATTTATCAATTTACCATCCAAGAATTTAAAATTTATACATAGAGCAATTTTTAGACCCAAATAATGTGGCATTTCAAAACTGTGGGAAGAAACATTATTAGTTGGAAAATGGAGTTGAGACAGCTGGATAGAAATGTAGGGAAAAATTAAAAAGATGGATCCCTATTTCACTCCTTACACTAAACAAGTTAAGTGAGCCCCATTAATCAAAAAATTAAAAGTTAAAAACAAACTAGTGAAAATACTGAAGGAAACCTTGGGAAAAATATTTATAATGGTATTAGAGTAGGAAAGACTTTTCTAAGAAAGAAACAACCCTCATGCTATATATAGGAAAAATGTGATAAATTCAACTGTCTAATAATTAAAAATTTCTGCAAGAGGCAAAATACTACAAACAATAACAAAGGAGAAACACAAACTTAGAAAAATAATTGCAAAGGGCTTGTATATAAAGAGCTGTTACAAAGCAATAAGTAAAGGGAAAAAAACAAAAACAAAGGAAAATGGGCATTGGAACCAGGCAGAAAGTTCAAAGAAAAAAAAATAGTGCCTTATCTTCACTTACAGTTGAAGAAAAACATCAAATTATGAAATACTATTTTTACTTCTTAGGTTTGCTAATAAAAAGAATAACAGAGCACTTCTCACAAGGGTGTCAGGAAAGTAGCACTCTCATATTGTGTTGATGGAAATGTAAAGGGATACTGCCTCTTTGGATGGCATTTTGACAATATCTACTAAAATTTAAATGGATCTACATTTTGACTCATCAATTACACTTTGAGATTTATTCTACAGATACACTCATATATGCATGAGAAGATGTAAGTACAAAGATGGTTGTTGCAAAAATGTGGGCAAAAGCAAAAACCAGAAACAACCTAAATAATTATCAGTGAGGTCTGGTTAGAGAAATTGTAGCATATTCACATAAGGAAATACTGTGAAAAAGAGTAAATTTAAATCCATAAAGCTGATATTGAAAGATCTCCAAGATAAACGAAAAAATACAAGGTACAGAGCAGTATGTATAGTGTCTTTTCATTTATATAAAAAAAGTAGTACATACGAAAATGCTACTTTATGCTTCTCTCTTGCTGCTTTCCAGATTCTCTCTTTGTCTTTGACTTTCTAGAATATTTCTGGAGAGAAACCTACGAAGGAGAACTGAAACCTAAAAACTCCTCCTCAAGTAAGGAGCAATAGAGAGCCAGGGTCAGAGGGAGCTATACTAAGCATGATTGGCCCTTCTGTTTTATTCAAAATTTTCGCTGATTTCTCTCTCAATTAAACTCTTTGTAAAAAGAACATGCTTTGGTTTGAAGGGAAAATTTGTTTTGTCTTCTACCTAGGTTTATTTTGTTTGCTAGGAGATCCAGAGGGAAACTTGTACGGTATTTACTTTTTGTGAAGTGTGTCAGCAGGTGCTTACTAACTGCTTTAGAAATTTATTGTGAAATATATCATACATGTCACAAAAATATGAAAGGTGTGCCAACAGTTTAAAGATGAATAATAAAACAAACATGTACACACCACCTTCAGCTAAGCAAGGCTTTAGAGCATCCCAGGTGCCCCTCCCAAAACACACCCTTCCCTCCCAGCCACAACCACTCCCTGAGCTGAAGTATATTGGGCCGTGAAACTCTCCCTTTTGTACAGATAGCAACAGAGAGGCTTAGCGAGGTGAGGTCATTTATTCGGTCACACAGCTTGCTCTTGGAAAAGACAGGCTCAGCTCCAGGTTTCCTGATTCCAGGTTTACTGCACTTTCTATTATGGCTCTGATGAGTATCTTAACGTAACCAGAAGAAATTTCGATTCACTGTGTTTAGTCATGCTCATAAATTAATGCAATCAGCTGCACTACAAAATTTATCATCTTAAAAAATGTATAATTGTCCATTGAGAGGACCATTAGAGGCTTCACAATGCTTCATTTGTTGCCTGGGGGATCACAGCAGAAGGAGTAGTTAGAAACAACAGAAGCATCAATAGGGGAAATTAACCTTTCTCTCTTTTATGCTCATCACTGGTCTGCAGTTGGCACAGCTTCTATAAAAAATGATGAAGAAGGAGTTTTCATTCCCTGATCTTTTGGCTTCATTTATATGCTAAAAGTTAATTTAGATATTTACCAGTAAATTGTGTTACTCTTCACTCGGGAATATTCTTTTAACAAACATGGTCTATATAAGATTGTACCAAGGTAAAACATGGTATGAAAAGGTATGGCCATAAGAAAATCAGAAACTTTTTTTTTTTTTTCCTGATAATAATGATTAAGAGTTTGGAAGAAAATAAGAAAAGTCAAAATTGAAAGTCACAAAATCTAGCTTGTCAAATTAAGGAGTCATATTTGGTATACAAGGCTTCCTAGATCTTGATTTAGGATTTGAGAATGGTGAAGCTGGAAGAGGCCTTAGAGCTCATTGTCCTGGGGGTGTCAGGCAGGACCCATCCAGGACGTGGCCCTGCCCCTTCTCGAGGCCATCTCCCCCTGCTCTCCCCCATTGCTCTGCTCCAATCACACTGGCCATCATCACTGGTCTTTGCCATGCCTTATAAGGCATGGGGACTTGTTTTCAGCTTTGACAACATATGGCAGCAATGGGAGAAAAGACAGCCAAAATGGGTCCCATTAGTGGCCTGACCAGACCTTCCAGTTTTCTCTCTGGATACAGAACTGGTCTCACTGGATCAGTAGGACTCATGGGATCTTAGGAAATTCATGGGCAAGGAAGGGGCCCCTGAAGAAAAGTAATGGACTTCTTGCTCATCTGGCATCAGATGGCTTGAGCTGGCTCTAATTCAAACTAAAAATAGATGGGACTAATTTCTTTCTATGAGAAAGAAAATGCTATGAACTGGGAATCTCACTTGCAGGAAGCTTATACAAGGATATCTGGGCAAGAATGCTTATTGCAACATTGTGATGGCAAAGGCATGCAAAAAATCTAAATGTTCATCAGTAAGGCACTTGTTAAACAGATGAGAAAGAATGAAGTAGATCTATATGTACTAATCTGGAAAGATGGCCTTGGCATACTGTTAAGTGATAAAAGCAAGGTGCAGCCCAAGCCATATAACACAATACAACTTTTTGGTTGAAAAAGAATATTTAGATATGTCTGGATAAGCACAGAGAAAAGTTGGAAGGCTCATGAACCAAACCATTAACAGATTTTTTTTCTCCTGGAGACTGAGACTAGGAGATAAAAGGGGGATTTTCATTTCTTAGTTTTGTATTGTTTTAAAAGATATATTGGGATTATGGGTGAATTTTACTTTGCTATGCTTTTAATAATTCAGAGAGAGAGAAGAGAGCATGCAAGCATTATATGAAGCCAAAAGATGGGTCTAATGATCCAGCTTTCCCGGGAATCCAAATATCATGCCTTCACAATAACCCCCATCACTTGGAATAACTTGGACAGATCTCTGTTGCTTCTAGACAAATGAACGTAGAATGAACTAGAACAGCTGTCTAGTGAGTTTCAAATTGTTCATTAGTCATAAGATTTTTCTTTTTCCCACATAAATTGCCAACCCTCCAAATAAAAAAACAAATAGAATGAAGCTAGTCTGGGTTAACTTATCTGTAAAATGAGAGGGTTGGACTAGATAGATGATTTCAAACTCTGCTCCCAGGAGGAATCAGGGGAGGAAGTGGGGAGGGACACCTGGAGACCTAGAGTCAGGGGAGGAGGGATAAGAAAGCTGAGGTCCAAAGAAAGCAA